AGCCGCTGGCCCAGGACGCCCGGCTGGCACTCCAGGGGCTGGAGCCGGAGAGGAGCCGACCGGCCACCGCGGCCCCGAGCGCCACCTCCCTGGGGCCGAGCCGTGCGCCACAGCAAAAGTACTTCAGCACAGGTACACCGCTCCGGCCGGGGGGCCACGCTGCGCTGCAGGGGAGGACTGGGGCCCCGCTCCAGCGGCAGGTGGGCAGAAGGGTGGCCTCAGCCACCTGCCACTGACTTAGCCTTGCAAAAGGCGCCGCGGCCTTCCAGGATGGGGCAGAGCCACGTGGGGGCCCGGGAACTGTCCCCCAGGGCCTGGGGTGGGGAAGGGGGAGGGCCGGGCGGCAGAGGCTGTGCGGGGTGAGCCGGCCAGCGCCCCGGCGGGAAGCGGCTGGCGGAGAGCGGGCAGCCGAGGGCTTGTCCTCACGCCTCCCCGTGTGTCCCCCGCCTCAGCCTTCCCCGTGCGAGTGCAGACTGTGGGGAAGACGTGTGGCTGCGAGAGGTCGTTTCTGCAAGACCTGCAGCACCGCCTGGCGCGACGCGGAGTCTTCCTCCTCCTGGGGGACTCCGGGGAGAGCCCAGACGCCTTCCTTCTGGTGTTCTGCCCCATCGCTTCCCGCGTGGGCAGCGACATCGACAACGCCCTGCAGGGGCTTGGTGGTAGGTGGTCCTTTCCGGAGGGGCTTGCGGTCCGGGGGGCGCATCTGCAGGCAGCGCCCAGCTGAGCAGGTGCCCCGAGGGGAGGGCGGGCAGCGGCGGTTCGCTGAAGCAGGCGCTGGCAACGGAACCACCCCCCACTGCAGCAGGACCCGCAAAACGAGCTGTGCCGGAAATTAGCTGTGGGCACGGGCGGGCTGGACGCCTCCGAGGTGGAGCGGCGCTGTCCACGGGCAGCCCTGGCGGGCACGTGCCAAGACTGCTCTTGCCGCCTGTCAGAAATGGGACCGGGCCGGAGACGGGAGTCATCCGGCGGTTCTTCCTGACTCCTACCAGATCCTTGGGAATCGGCCTGCCCCACAGGCAGGAATCTGCCCGAGCGACAGCCACGAGCAGGCTGGAGATGTGCTTCGGGATGCCGCTCCGGGCACGGCCCGCGGGTGAGCCGTGGGCCCGGGGAATCTCCAAAGAGCTTTGGGAGACCAGCAAGGACAGGGGCGAGCCGCTGGCCGCATGGGCCCCATGGTTTCCCATCATGCTTTCCAGAGCCGCCCGAAAGGTCGTTTCGCATGATGAGTAATGGGAAGGCCAGTGGACCCTCCGCCATGCCTGGTCTTCCTGCGGCCACCGCCAGTCCGTGCCGCAAGCCCACGGCCGGGTTGCTGCCACAGCCCAGTTCACCCACAGCAAGCCAGCTTGGCTTCTCAGGCTGCCCGGAGTAAGACCCCCAGACAGTCGTGGGGTCTTTTAAGCCACGATGGGTTCTGGTATCAAAGGAACCCCGCAAGCAAGTCAAAGGGGCGTAGAAGAGTGGGAAGGGGCCAGGAAGGCCATCCAGCCCAGCCCCCTGCGGCTGCAGGACGCCAGGTCGCCCCACCCCACTCAGAGGGCGTCCAGCCTCTTTCTGAATGTCCCCCATGTGGGAGGGCCCCCCACCCCTCCAGGCAGCCGGTTCCTCTGCTGTCTTGCTCTGACCGTGAGGAAGCTTTTCCTGAATCTGGACTGTCGCACCTGGAAGGGATCCTTCCGTCTCCGGCACGGAGATCCCCTCTTGCCCAGCAGAGAGTTGCCCCAAGGTCCCCGACAGGCAGCGGGGCGCTTCTGCTGGCGAAGTGGGGCAGAGTGCGCTCGAGTCCTCCCCACCAGCTCCTTGGGGCCAGTGTCAGTTGCCAGGCAACCCCCCCATCCTGGCCCGCCCTCGGTGGGCTCCCGGGGGGGACCTCTGCCGGCCAGTGACCCCGCTCGGCCGCCTCCGCGCTTCCGCTCTGCTCGCTCTGCTCTCCCTTCCAGGCGTGCGGGACAGCCTCCTGGTGGTGCTGCACTACAGACCGAAGGGCAGCCCCCGGTCCCACGTCGACACCAGGCGGCAGGTGCGGCACCGGGCCCTGGTCGCCACCGTCCACACCTTCTTCACCGCGCAGGATGGGCTGTACCCCTGCGAGGAGAACGACGCGGCCGTGGAGGCTGCGGCGGCCGCCGTGCAGGAGCACCTGAGAGCCGGCGGGAGCCTGCCCGGGAGCGAGTCTGCCGCCCTCCGGCCGGGCGGGCAGCCCCCCGCTTAGAGCAGAGAGTCCCTCGGCTGGCCCCGCGCCCGGGGGTCTCCGCAGCGGCCCCAGTCCGTGTGGGGAGAGCTTTGCCCATGGCTGCGGCGACCCATTTCTTGCGGCCCCCTCCTGCCGCTGCCTCGGCACCTCTCTCCGCCTCGATGCCGGGCATGAAGATCGAGCCGAGCCTTCCGTTCCTCGTCCATCCAGGCAGGTTCGGCACGCAACCGGAAGACGAGGAGGCCGGCTCGCCCCCCAGGCTGCCTGGGCGTGGGGGGAATTCTGGAACTGAGACTGGACTTTCCCTGCCATGGGTTCGGCATGCTTGGGGACATGAAGTCCCATCAGCCCCAGCCTGCATGGCTTGTGATCAGGGATGCTGGAAGTTGTGAGCAAACACTGGGAGGGTGCCCCCTTGGAGACGCCCCCGCTTGTTTTTCAGTGAGGCTGGTGCTGCAGGGCGGTTGTGGGTGCAACTCGGGTGCCCACTTTGGAGCCTGGGAAGGCCAGGAGTGCCGAGGATGCTGGAACATGACGCAAACGCTCTGGGGCAGGAGAGGCCGAGCCGCTGAGGGCTGTCCCCAGGGAGCGTCCGGCCCAGCGCCCTTTCTTTATGTCTGGGCACGTCCAGACCACGCTTACCTTGGTTTGCCCCGATTCTCGTGAGGGGTCCGCGGCTCAGCCTGGAGGCGTGCCGGGCCTCCTCCTGGGCTCCGCTGTGGCAGAGGGCCGCTTGGGGCGGGATTGGGAGCCCTGGGAGTGCGGAGCCCAGGGACTGGCACTGCCACCAGGGACCCCCGAGGGAGCCGCGGAGCGTGCGAGTTGCTCAGCGGCTGCAGCCGTTCTCCGGTGACGCTCTGCTAGAATGGGCAGCCACCGTGGTGCCCTCCGTCCTCGGCTCTCGGCATCGGCTGGGCAGGGGGCCGGGGGAAGAGGTGGGCCCCGGCTCTGGAGCGCTGCGCCTTGCCTGTCCCTGCCTTGAGAATTTTTCTCCTGCAAGATGCAGTGCGGGAAGGCGAACGTGGGCCATGAGCCCCCGGGAAAGAGCCCCCTTTTCAGTCCCGGGAGCTGAACTGCGATCCGGGAAGAGGCAGCGGGGGCAGGTCCGTCCGTGGACAGGGTCCACGGCTTTACCTCGGTGTGCAAATGCCTGCACTTCTGACAGTGCGTGTGGAAAAGTCGGGCGTGAACTGGAAAGCGGCTGTACAAATGCGTATCTGTGTGTTGTGTCACGTGCTTCTTTCGTCGTGGCAATAAAGGGTGTGCGTGTTACCTGCCGGCGCGTCACGGCCCTGCATGGCCCCGCGGGAGGGGCAGAGGACCCTGCGCCATCGCAAGGCGGCCTCCGCAGCAGGCCCAATCGGCCACGGTGGCGGAAAGGAGCTCCCTCCGTCCCTCGATGGCACCGCTCCCCCAGCCCCGAAACCCCACAGAGACCCGGTTCGCGAAGAAGGGCAGTCCTGTGTTCGTTGGTGGGCGGCTTCTGCTTTCCTTCAGGAGCCGACCATCGCTGCTTTCCTAGGTGCTTAGTGCGACATCCAGACTCGGCCACTCTGGGCTATTTAGGAGTTGAATCATGGGTTAACGCTGGGTTGTCTTACCCAGTGCCTGAGTTCAGATGTTACACTGCCCACCCGCAGCCAGGGCAATTGCTCTTGCTACCTGGAAGCGGGCCTGCCAGAGAGGCAGCAGCTTGTGCCCTCTGCAGGTCGGCCAAGTGCCAGTGCCTCAGCCCGGCCGGCCGGGCCAGCAAGGCAGGACTCTGTGCAGGTTCCGGAGAAAGGGGCCCGCAGAAGCCCCCCGGGGGGGCCTGTCGCAAGCAGAGCCCGTCTTGTGACGCATCCGAACGCGGAAAGGAATGAAGCCTTGATGGGGGGCTCTGCAGAGGGTCGCCCGGGGGTCTGGGGAGAAAACAGCCACTTGCCGGCCTCAGGCCACCGTCTTGCTGGCAAAAGGCCGAATGGAAGGGAGCTTGCCGGGCGCTCTGGACGTCCGTCCCCAGGAGCCCCAGCAGCGAGCCACGCCGGGGGCCGGGATCTGGAGCACCTGGGCAGCCACCTCCTGCCCTCCTCTGCGGTGCGAACCAAGCGCACGAGCCCCTCGGCCGGGTCCTGGCGGACGGGCGGCCCTGCCGCAGCAGCCCACGAAACAGATCCCCAAGAGCCGGCACGGCAGCTCACGCCTCCCCGGCACCCAGCGCAACCCTGGGCCGTGTGGCCAGTTCGCCCTCGGGCTCTCAGCTGGCAGCGATGGGCATCCATGCGGGACCAGCTGCAGCCTGGACCCTTTGCCCCCAGGGCGGCCTTGCCCAACCCGGTGCCCCCCCCCCCCGCGTGTTGGACGACAGCCCCGGAGGCCTGGAGGGCTGCCAGCTGCAGCCCAGCACTCCTGGAGGGCGCAGAGGGGGCTGAAAGCGCCACCCGCACGGGGCACGGTGCGAGGCCACTGCAACACGGGCGCCCAGATGCGCGCTCGCATGCTGAAGCTTCCTGGCAACTCTTGGCCACCGTGTGCGAGCGCAGGGTGCCTTGGCCGCGCGAAGACTCCGGCTGCCCCGTTACAGCCAGGGGGCTCCGCTGGCACGGCAGGCAAAGCCCGGAAGCGGGTGCTTGCCCCCCGACACACCTGCATGAGGGCGCGAGGGAGCCGTGGGTGGGCAGGGTCACCGGGCTTGGGGCCCCCCACAAGTCACGGCAGGCAGGGGCTGTGCCCTTGAGCGGGGGCCAAGTCTGACAGCTTCCTGGAGGGGGCCACACGCCGGCAGCAGTGCGGAGACAGCGCACACACAAACACACACGCATTGGGCCTAGATCGTTTACTTTGTTTGGATCGGGGCGACCCAGCAGCAGAAACAGGGCAGGGACCCAGTGTGTTAACTACGGCGCGGACAGGCGGCTCCAGCGGCGCGACAAGAGCCTCAAGCGGGAAGGCGGGACGGCGGAGGCAGCGTTCTCTCCCAGCGTGGCGTGAGATCCCAGGCACAGGCGTGCTACTCCCTGCGGGAAAGAGGGCAGACGGCCTCGCTGGCACTGAGCGGACGGAGCTCCGGGGGCTCTGCTCCCCAGCCGGCCGGGCAGCCAGCCGAGCTCCGGGAAGAGCCGAGGTGCCACGACTCCGGACCCGGCTGGAGCGCAACTCTGGGGCTGCAGGGGGGGGGGGCAGGTGACCGGCTGCACAGCCCTTCTCTCCCCGGAGCGGCGGGGGCTCAGCACCGCTGGGCGCCGGGGCTGGTCATGGGGCCCCTGGGGTGGGGGCGGGATGGGGGCCGGAGTGGGGGGCAACTCTGCCTGGGGGGGACAAGTGAGCACACGATTCGCTCCTGTGAGCGACAGATGCCGACAAGCCCCATGAGCGCCTCCCCCAGGCCCCCCATCTTTTCCTTGGCAGCGGCCTGCTCCCGTTGAGCCGCCTCTGCCCACCGAGAGGCCGGGTGGCTGGCACACGTGGGTGTCCACGCTGCTGGCCCCCGAGGACGGCCCCACAGCCTCAGGCGCCCAGGCTGGCCCCGTGGAACTGGGCCGGAGGAGGCGGTCGCCGCGGGCCTGAGCCATCCCCTCCCTGAAAGCGGACCTCCGGGACGCTCCTCGGCCAAGGACAGCGGCTCCGGGGCCCCCAGGGAGAAGGCGCTGCAATTCCGTCACGGCCCCAGGTCCGGCTCCCCCGTTTCCCCGAGGGCCGAGCCCCCCTGCCCCCCCCCCCCCGCACTTACACCTCGTTGTTCTTGTACTCGCGCAGGGCCTGCCCGGCCACCAGCTCCATGAACCGGGGGTCATCCCACGGGACGTCTCTCGGCACGGTCAGGGAGAGGGGCTCCGAGCCAAAGAGCCGGACCGTCACCTGGGTGTCAGCCCCTCTTGATGGGTCTCCGGACTCGGAGGGCTGCGTGACCACCTGGAAGGGGCAGGAAGGCCCGCGGCAAGGCTGTCACACGTGCCGGAGACGGCCCCCGGGGGGGGGAGCGCCAATCACTCCCAAGTGGGGCGGAAGTGAGCGTGGGCCCAAAAGGGGACCCGGAGGGGTCACCCCCCAAGCCGGCTCTGCCGCACCTGCGCCGACAGAGCCCGCGGGCCTCTTTAGGGGGACAACGCCTTCCAGGAACTGCTTGGCCTGTTGTCCCACTGCAGCCCCCCAGACGGTCTGGCGTCCACTCCCACCTCTGGAGGGTCGCCAGGGGCACTGAGGGAGCAACTGCACAGCTGGGGCCGGACAGCGCGGCCTGCCCCTCTCCGCGGCCTGGGGAGGCTGCGCCTGCAGGTCGTCTTACTTTTCTTGCCTGCAGGGGAGGGCAGGACGCACCCCAACGGAGCCAAGCTCAGGGAACCGAGGTTCAACTTGGGTGCCAGGAAGCACTTCCCGACAGTCAGGACCCCGAGGGTGTGGAATGGGCTTCCTCGGGAGGTGGGTGAGGCCCCATCGGTGCGGGTGTTCAAGGACAGGCTGGACGTGCACATGGTGGGCATGCCGTGAGCGGAGCCGGCTGGAGCCGGGGGTCAGACTAGATGGCCCGGGAGGCCCCTCCTGACTCGCTCTGTTTCTATGTTACTTTGCTGGCAAACAGTTGCAGGTGCCTCCTCCCGACAGAAGCCACCTACCCGCCGGCCTCGGCTTCTCCACTCCGCCTGGAAGCCGCAGCCACAGCCCTCCCGCTCCTTATCTGAGGAGACCCCTCTCCTGCCAAGCGGATGAGCCCCCCCCCCCCCCGGAGCGCCCCAGCCGCCAGCGCAGGGCCCCACCGTGACGACCCGCAGGAGCCGGTCGCCGTTCCGCGTGGCGTTGGCCAGCTGGGACACCCAGCCGAACTGCTGGTTGAGCTGGTCGAGGAGGGCCGTGGTGTTGAGCATCTCCTCCTGGAAGGTCCTCAGGAGCTCGTCGTACCGCCGACTGAACCGCTCGGCCAGCCGCAGGGCGTCCTCGAAGCGCTCCCGGAGCCGGTTCTGCTCGGGGTCCGTCTCGGAGCAGTCTGTCACGGGAGGGGGAGAGGCACGCGGGTTAAAGGCCCCCGGGCAGCAAGCCGGGGCACGGCAGGCCTGGCTCCGCACCCCCCCCCCCCACTCCCCGAACCCAGCAGAGAGGTCCGGCACCCGGGCGGGGAGGCTTCTGTCTCGCCCCGTGCTCTGCCCCGTACCGGCCACGCGGCCCTATCTGTACCTCCGACATCGTCATCCTGGTTCCTGCCCCCGCCCCCGCAGCAGCCCAGGGCAAGCTGCCCCCGCCGGTCTTGGGCCACTGGGAGAAAGCAGCCAAGTCTCCAAGGAAAGACTGGACCGAGGAGGCTCCGCGGGGCCGCGGACGTGCAGCGTCTGTGCGGCACTTGCTTTCCTGTCGGACGTCAGCTCGGCCTGCGCCTGCAGCGAGGGCAGGGTGGCAGCCCTGCGAGAGGAGAAGGGGGAGCGCTGGAGCAGCGAGCGTCCGCCCCAGGGAGAGCAAAGGCGAGGCAGAGCTGCTGGACAGAGCGGTGGAGCTGCGACCGCCAAGAGCATCGCAGGAGCAGGAAGTGCAGCAGCCCGGCTGAGGCAGAAGAGATCCTGGGGAAACGAGGAGGAAGGGGCAGAAGATGCAGACGACACCGTGCGCCAGTGGAACCCCAAACCGCTTCCAGTTCCTCCAGGGCGAGACGGGGGGGCAGCCGCAGGGGAAGAGCCGTGAGGCATCCCACGCAACGCCGAAGCAGAGGCTGGAGGTCAGCAAGTGGCGGCAGCAAGACTAAGCGCTGGCAGGAACAAGAAGAGAAGGCGCGACTTGTGGCGGGATGAAGAGACTCGCCGCCGGGATGAGCGTGGCTACCAAAGCTCACCCAGCCCCGGACATGTATCCCTCGCGTGGGGGCAAGCGGCACTGCCCAACAGAGCTTTGAAGAAGGCATGTTCATCTTCGGAGCTTTAGGGGGACGTCAAGAACTTCGGGGCCCAGAGAGGTCACTCTGTGATCCTCCAAGTTTGAAGAAGAGGAAGGACGAGGAAAGAAAAGTACGCCAGGTGAGAGCCTGGTTATGAAGGTGATGCCGACATGACAGATTTGGGTTCTGGGCCCACGGACCAGACTTTCTTCCTAGCCAAACATGTGCCTTGGACTTCAAGAAAGCCCATTTTAATAAACCCAGAACAATGGTAAGTCACGTCCCATGACAAGTGGCTCTGATGAGAAAAGGAGTCCAGGGCGGGTGGGGATTTTTTTAAAAGGATAATGTTAAGGCATTATCTAGATGGGGTCACTGGGGCAGTGGGGCTGAGTTTAGGTGGCCTCTGAGGGATGATGGAGGACAGGAAGGCCTGGAGGAATGTTGTCCATGGGGTCGTGATGGGACGGACATTACTTCGCGTCTAACAACAACAATGGTAAGGCACAATCACAATTCCAACAAGGAAGAAGGGTGGAAGACAACAGAAGAAGCCATGTGGCTTCACAAAAAGCTTTGCGATGATCTGAAAAACGAGGAGATGTGCAGGAAGGGTGTCAGGAAGGCCAAAGCGATGAATGAACTGAGGCCAGAGAGGGGTGCTGAAGGCAACAGAAAAGCCAATTCCGGTGTGCCTAAGGCAGAAGCCGGAGCAAAGAAACGGGGGTTCGGCTGCTCGGTGCAGATGACAAAAAGACAGCGGATGGCAGAGAAAAGGCAGGAGCGCACAACTCCACTTGGGCTCAGCTTTCTCCCGAAAGACCTTCCTGGTGAAGAGGAAAAGCAAGCTGAAGGAGCGGCGGCTCAAGATGGGCAGGAATGTGCCCACGGGTCACCCAACTTGAGCGAGCGCCAGTCCCCAGGGCCCCGTGGAGGGCAGGGGACGTGCCAGATGCCTGGAGAAAGAAACGAAGGACCTGGGAGCAGATGGCGAAGCCTGCAAAAACTGCAGTGACTGCCAGAAGCCGGCATGGATTTATTTTTCTGATTGGGTGACCTCCCGGATGGACGGAGGGAATGCCATGGACATAATGTACCTTGACTTTGGCTAAGCTTTTGACAAACTGCCCTATAATATCCTGATTAGCAACCTAGTTGAAAGTGGGGTGGATGGAGAACCATCAGGCGGATCCGCAGCCGGCGACAGAACCGGGCTCAGATGCTTCTCAGGGGCACCTCCTCAAACGGGGGGAGGGAACGAGTGGGGCGCCGCAGGGCTCGGTCCCGGGCCCAGTGCTCCCCAACATTTTTGTGAATGATGCGGATTAGGGAGCTTCCAAGTGCAGGGAATGATTGTCAAATTGCGGATGACAGAAGACCGGCTGGGAGAGCCAGCACCCCGGGAGACAGAAAGAATGTCTTGATCGGGGGGAGCGCCGGGCTGAAAACAACAGAATGAAATTCAACAGGACAAAGGCCAAGTTCTGCACCGGGCGGGGGGGTGCATTGTTATAAGATGAGGAATACTTGGCTCAGCAGGACTGAAGGGAGAAGAATCTCGGAACTGTTGTAGATCCCAAGCGGAATGTGAGCCAGCAATGCGATGCGGCTGCAAAAAGGGCGAAGGCGATTTTGGGCAGGCCAGTCCCTTCCCGGTCACGAGAGGTGCCAGTCCCCCTTCACTCAGCACTGGTGAGGCCCCCCCTGGAGTCCAGGGTCCAGCTCTGGGCAGCAGCGTTGAAGAAAGATGCAGAGAAGTGGGAAAGGATGACCGGGGACTGGACACGAGGCCCTCTGAGCAGAGATGGAAAGGGCTGGCACGTTCCGCTTCCAGAAGAGACGACTGAGCGGAGACAGGATAGCTCTCATCACGTACGGGAAGAGCCATCCCAGAGGGGAAGGCCAGGGTCTGGCCTCCGTCACCACTGAGTGCAGGCCATGCAGTGGTGGGCTTCGGTTCCGGGAAGCCAGGTCCCGGCCAGAGATCAGGAAAGAGCTTCCCGACCGTGAGCGCGGGAGGACAGAGCCGGCGAGGGCGAGGGGGCGGTGGGCTCTCCCACCCTGGAGGCACTGCGGAGGCAGCTGGGCAGCCCCCCGAGGGGCGGTGGGACTCGGAGCCCTGCACTGAGCAGGGGGCTGGGCCTGAGAGCCTTCCTGGCTCCTTCCGACTCTTCCAGTCTATGATTCTGTGATTCCAAGGGAACCGCACACCCCTCCTCACACCCAAACTTTCTGCCTTTGCGCTGGCATCCAATTGCGCGTCTCCCTGGACCAGCTCATCCGGGGATCCAGGCGCCACCCGGCCCAGCCCGGCCCCCCAGGCAGTTCACGGCTCTTCGGCTGCTGTGGCTTTGGCCCTGCGGATTTGTCCTGCTGGTCCTGCAGCTGCCACAGTAAGGTTTGAAACCAGCCACCCGCAAGGCAACTCGGCCACATTTGCCTTCCAGAAATGCCGGGAGAGCTACCCCGGCAGAGTCTCTTTCCTTTACGGCACCCAAGCCGGCGGCCGCTTCAGGGCCGGGGCTGCGTAGGACGCTGCAGCACGTCCCACTGAAGGCAGGCGACTGGGGCCACTCCAAAGGCCTGGGCCCGTGGCTCCCCTCAGCCTTGCCGTGGGTTCTGCTGCCTGGCCGGACACGAGCCCCCCACTTCAGAGCTGGAGAGACCCTGCCTTCCCCTGGGGAGCTGCTGCCTGTCAGAGCAGCCCCCGCTGGGGCGGGATGGCTGGGCTGCCTCCACCCCCTGCCCGGGGGAGTGTGCCGAATGGGCGCTGGCTCCGGGCGCCGCTTCCACGCCCGCCTTACCTATCTCCAGGATGGCCCGGCACTTCTCGCACTTCTCCTTCATGCGCAAGCAGCTGGCCGAATTCCGCCGGATCTCACGGCACACCATGCGGTTGTCGCCGGGAGCCGGAATCCCTGGCGGAAAGAGCGGCAAAGGGTCCGCATCACGCCGGCCGCCTCCGGCCCTCCTGCCGGGCATGTCGGCTCCGGCTGGCAGCCAAGGCGAGCCCAGGGCACTGCCCGCCCCCAGCACACCTGGAGGTCCCAGTGCAGCCCCCTGCTCTGAAGCCCGCTCCCGGCCCGGGGCAGAGGCAGGCAGGGGAGAGCAGGGGGGCGGCCCGTGTCCTTTCGGGGCTCCAGCGGGGCCCCGCCACTCCCACCCCCTCCGCAAGGGGAACAGGCCCCCGCGTGGCCCCTGCACTGCCGCCACAAGAGGAGGGCATCGGTGGGCCGGGGAGCCGCAAGGGGCAGCCCCGGGGCCGGAGCAGCTCCCTCAGAGCGAGGGCTCCATGTGGGGGGAGGCACGGCCGGCAGGATACAGGCGGGCCTTGTGCAGAGGAGGGGGGGGGATTTTTCTGCCTCTCTTCTGCCCCCAAGGGGTGGCCCCATGAAGCCGCCTGGGGGGAGATCAGGCACCGGGTGAAGGACGGACCCTTCGCAGCCACGCAGACTTCCCTGCCGCAGACGACGTAGCGATGGGGCCGGCTTGGGTGGCTGGAAGGGGCCTGCGACAAGCAGCGACCGCTAGGCAGCATGGCTCCGAGCTGCCCCAGTCCCAGAAGCCGGGGGGCAGGGGCAGCAGGGGCCCGGGCAGCTGTGTGGCCGTGCAAGCAGCGTGCTGCACTGGGTGATCTGACCCTGCCAGCCCGTTCTCAGGGGTGCGCAACATGCCCCCCATCCAAACCAGAGCCAAGGAACCCCCCAGGGGCCCCCAGCTAGACTGGCCCATCCCGCCAGGAATGCCCAGGGCTGTCGGGGGGGGGGAGCCCAAAGGCGGTCGCACCACAGCCTGGCCTCGGGGACGCCCCGGCCGGGTCTCTCCGCCAAGGGGCACCTGCTCCGGGCCGCCGGTTCTGAAGGGCAGCGTGCCCAGACGGCCGAGGCGGCTTGGGCCCACCTGTCGGGAACGCGCCCAGGGGCCCCGGGCTGCCGTCCAGCCACCGCCCGTCCTGCTCCATGGCCCTCTGCGCGCCCTCAAAGAGCCGCTGGGTCATCTCGTAGAACGGCTGCAGCATCTGGTGGAAGTCCTGGTGAGGCCGGAAGCCGCTGGGCAAGAAGGAGAAGGCGGGCACGTTCCTGGCCACGCGGGCGTCCACGAAGGGGTGGCGGAGGCCGCGCAGCGGGGCCCAGCCGTCCCGGAAGCCGCCGAAGGGCGAGCGCAGGAAGGGGGTGAGCTGCCGGTAGGCCTGGGCACTCTCCTGGAACAGCTCGTCCACGCCGTCCTCCACCAGGCCGTAGCGCTCCTCCAGGTCCTCCAGCCGCCGGCCCTGCTCCTCGTCCACGTCCATCAGGGAGTCGACGCGCTCGCCGTTCAGCCAGACGGAGAGCGGCGAGGACTGGTTCAGGAACTCCTCCAGCTGGCGGGGGAGGCAGGCGGGTGGAAGCCGCGGGTCAGCCGGCCGAACGGCCACTGCGGCTCACGGCCCGCCCGGCCCTGCTCCACCGGGCGCCCCCAGGGGCCGGGAATTCCGGAGTCCCGGCCCGGCTCGGCCGGGTCACCAGGGGGAGAAGGCGGCAGAGCCGCAACTCGGCCCGCGTCGTGCTGCGCCAGCGGCCCGTCGGTGCCCGGGCCGCGTGGCAGCTGCTGCTCCTTGCATGCAGCTCCCGGCGCGGGGGGCCCCAGCTGGGCCAGTGGGTGCCAGCGTGCCTGCGGGCGCCCTCTCCGCCTCCCCAGGGCTCCCTGGCCCGTCGGTTTTCTTTCCTGGGGTAGCTGGGAGGCCGCCCAGCACCGTCTCTGCCTGGGCCCCAGGAGCTTTCCTGAGCTGGGCCCCTCCTCTGCCCTGGCCTTAAATTCCTGGCAAGCGACTTCCCCCTTAGAGGCACCCTTTGGCTCCTTGAGAGCAAGAGCGAGTGCTTCGCCGGCCCCCAGGTCCTCTGGGGCAGCCCCCTGCAGCTGATGTCACCCAGCACCAGACGGCCCCGCATGGCCGTCGCATGCGCCCCCCAGACCTGCCCGCCCCCCAGACCCCCGTGAGCCACAAGGCCCAGCCCGGCCCGCTTGGCAAGAGGGCTGGGCCTGCCGGACGCGCCCCCGAGCCCCCACCCCACTCACCTGCCTGCCCACCAGGCCGGCGCCGCTGTGGCACGTGCGGGTGTAGAACTGCACACAGGTCCGCTTGAGGCAGGGCTTGCACTCCTCCCAGAGGGCCAGCATGGACGCGTTGCACACCTCCTTCTCGCCCAGCCGCTGCTCCGCCTCCCGCACCACGAGCAGCGCCTCCTGCGGACACGCGCGGCCGTGAGCCCACGCCGGGTGTGCAGCCCCTCCGGGCACGGGGCCGTCGGGGCAGGCGGATGCCCCCCGCTCCGAACCGCTGCGGGCATGGCTCTCCTGGGGCCAGAAGGCCACGCAGCCCGCGTGGCGAGACCCGGGCCCCACGGCAGAGGAGGCCACCCGCCCGGGTAGGCAGCAACGAGGCGCCAGGACACCGAGCCGGAGAAGCCGCCCTCCCCGCAGGTGGGGCTCCGTCTGGGCCAAGGGGTGCCCCGCACCCCCGGGACCTGCGCCCGCGGAACGGGGCCGCTGCTGTTTCCGGCAAGCAGCCCCCGAGGGCGGTGCTCACGGTCCGGACCGGAAGGCGCATCCCTCGCTTCCGCACAGCGTTCTTCCGAGAGGAAGCGGCCCTCCCCACCCAGGGTGCCTCCAGAGGCACTTGGACCGCAGCTGCCAGAATTCCCATCCGGCCGGACCCTGGCTGGGGATCCTGGCGGCTGCAGTCCAAGCCCGTCTGGAGGGCACTGCCCTTGCTAAAGACCGGCCGAGCCTCCGCGCGCAAAGGCGCCCTTTTCCGCCATCAGCTGCGCTCCGGCTTCCAGGCGGCCCGCCTCCTCCAGAACAGCCGCCCCCTTTCTGGGAAGCCCCCCCTCCCCGCCCCCCCCATGCCCTCCAGGCGGGCTGGGCCGCAGGGGCGAGGGCCCCTGGCCTAGCCTGCGGGCCCTGGACCAGGGTGGCGGAGGGCGGCTGCCCAGCGGACCTCCTTCTGTCTCTTGGTGTCCTCCAGGCTGGCCAGGACCTCCCGGTGGTCGTTGCTCGTCTGCTCCATCAGCATCTTCATCTGCCGGACCCCGTTGATGGCGTTCTCCAGTTCCGTGTCGATGAGGCGGCTCCCCCTCTCGGACAGGCCTGGGGGAGGGGACGCGTCTGGGGCTGAGCTCAAGGCCCGCTCCAGAGCCACCTGGGAGCTGGTCTTTCCCAACCTAGCGCCCCCAGGTGTGCTGGGCTGCAGCTCCCATCACCCGGGGGCTGTGCTGCACGGGCAGAATGCGAGGGAGACACCAGGCGCACCAGCCCAGACTCCCGGGGGTCGGCCACTCCGATCCTCCATCCACTGCTCTCATGAGAAAGGAAATGAGCATGATGCGTGACGCAACCCCCGAGTTGTTCTTGGCCGAGCACTCAGTCGCGTCCGCAGACTCCGGCTGCCGCTTGCCAAAACAGCCGGCTAGGTCCCGGTCACCCTTGGAGGCTAGCCCCGGGAGGGCGCCCCACATCTCTCCCCACAGGCGCCACAGGGCGCGGGGGACGCAGGCCCTTGTGGGAAGGGGCCTGGCCTGGCTCCTCCCTGCCTCCGCGAGGGGCCGCGTTCACGCAGGAGGACCCTCATCTCACCCCCCCCCCCGCTCACGCTCCTTCCACCGCCTGCCGGGCAGTTTTTTGCTCTCCGATCAAAGGGGAAACCAAGGCTGCGAGAAGCGAGTTTCCCCAGGTCTGTAAGAGGGGGAGGACCTGAGTGCAGGCCACCCCCCTCCGGCCCCAAGACCCTTTGCCACCCCTCTCTGGCCATAGATGGGGAATCGGACGCAGGCAGGAGGAAGGGGGTCACAGCTGGGGGCTCGGCGGGCCACTCCCGGAGGCAGAGGTGCCCGCGTGGCTGGTGGCAGTCCGGGCCCCCGGGGCTGCCTGCTGCAAGGCCCGTGCAGGGAGGGTGGGGAGGAAGGCCCCTTGTGGGGGGGGGGCTGCGCTGGCACAGGAGGAGTCCAGCACGGAAAGGGAGAGCAGGCGTGCTCCCGAGGGTGGAGAAGGGGGCACGCCTGAAGGCTCATCCGGGACTCCCCATGCGCTTGCCCCCCCCCCCCCGCTGCCCTCCACGGTCGACTCCAAATCTCTTGTGCAATGTGGCCGTGCGGGCAAAGCGCGTGATGTGAGGAGGCAGGATCCTTTCCCCAGCAAGCCACAGGCAGCGGTGAGTCAGTGCTTTGGGAAGTTACTTCATGGTGCGGCTGGCCAGCTGGCCGGGATGCCAAAATGACCCCGGGACTCTGCTGCGCTGGACGCGGCCACTCGGCGGCCTCCGAGGCAGATTTTGGCACCAGAGGAGGCCCGGCAAAACACCGGGCTCCACCCGGGTTCCCTGCCCAGAAATGGGGCGCCGAGACGCCGCCCTTCGTGTCCACAGCTTCTCCAGGAGACGTCGGCGCCCTGCCCCGCCTCAGCCGCCCCCGTTCTGCCCCATCGCCAGGAGCCAACCGCCCTGGCCCGCACGCAAGCCCCCGGGCGCGTCCCCTCCCTGCCCCACGTACGCTGCAGCTCGCTGGGGGGAAGAACGCCGTGGCAGCCCTCCCAGAGGAGCAGCAGCCCCAGCAGCGGGAGCAGTGCGGTGGGCCTCATCTTCGCAGCGGGGGGTCCCGGTTCCTGCAAGAGGAGAGGAGAGGAGAGGAGAGGAGAGGAGAGGAGAGGAGAGGAGAGGAGAGGGCCCCGTCAGCCGGGACCAGAACCGGACACCTGCGCGCGGCTGCTGGAAGAACCCCGGGGCTCAGGGGCTGTGTGAGCCCACAGAAGCCCAGAAGCACGTCTTGCCTTCTCAGAGGCCGCCTGACGCCTGGACCACGTCACACGCCTCTGTGGCAGAGGACTGCTCTTGCGTGGGGGACCCATGCTGAGCAGTGGGGTGGACCCGATGGCCCCTGCCGGTTCGATGAAGCTACAAGCCCACGGGATGCAAGCGCTCGCTCGCTTGCAGCCGCCACTGGGCTGTCGGGGAGGCTTTGCCACTCAACCAACTTGGAAAGGCACCGTGAAAAGCCCCAGACCGCGCAGAACACGCATCTCGGGGACCAATGCTGCTGCCCTCTTTGCCCCCTGCCCCCAGCTCAAAGAAGTAGGGGGGCAGGCCCAGGACACCCCCCAGGCACCACTCCCCTTCCATCCAGACACTCCGGAATGCCAGACGGTCTAATCCACGCTCCGCCTGGGCTTGCCTTTCTCCAGCCGCTCAAATAAACAGGAAGGGCATGCTCAGCATGCAGAAAGGACGGGGGGATGGAGGACGGGGCCAAGCTCCAGGGTCCTTTCGAAGGCTGGGAGGGGGGTGACGGAGCACCCAGCCGGAGAAGCACCTGTGCTCCTTGGGGCCGCCGAGGGGCACGCAGCGCCCTCCCCAGCCCCCAGCCCGAGGGCAGCCCCAGAGAATCCATGCGGCTGGCCAGCAGCACGGACACCCTGCGGCCTCAGAGCGGGAGGTGTGGGACACGGCGACGGAAGAGGGACTTGGCCGGCCTCCCCAGCCTGGATTCCACGGGGGGGGGATTCGGGGGGGGCACGGTGCCAAGGCCTCCTTCCAATTGTGTCCGTTTCAGGAAGAGTTGCGTAAGAGCGCTGCTCGCATTCAAGACGAGCTGTTCTCACAGGGAGCGGGTGTGGGGGGGCTCCAAATCAGCCGGCAGCGATGCTTCCGCGGGGCTGGCAAGAGAGCCGGCCGCGGGGACAAGCCCAGGGCGCACGGGGCGCCTCCCAGGCCCAGCTGCTGCTGCAGGCATGAGTGCCCGCACGGCGGCCGTTGGCACGCGGAGGCGGGGGGGGGCGGGAGCACCCACAGAAGCGCCGCTCATGCTCCAGAGCAAGGACACAAGCCCGGCCCAGCGCTGGAGGAAGGGAGCACGCAGCGACGGACCTCTGAGGGCCGAGCAGGCGAGCCTTTCTTAAGCCGCCCTTCCCAGGGCGCTGGACTACGGCGCCCATCACCCCCAGGGGAGATGAGGGGTGAGCAACCACGGCTAGTGGGAGAGCTTGCGCTGGTCCTGCTCAGACCGACCCAGACACGGCCCGCCGCAAGGGCCCCCCAGCGCCCCGGGCAGGCGCTGCTCCAGCCGCACCTGGACTGGAGCCGCTGGCAAGGGCCAGGAGGGGGAGATTCGGCATGTGGAGCCCTGCCACGGAGGGCCACGGGGGCCGGGGGGGCGTGATGCAAAGGCTGCGGCTGCCACAGCCGCGCCAGGTGGGCCTTGGCCACGTGAGCCGGCCACGCGACTCGGCAGAAGACAACTCGGTTTGCCAGCCCTGCAGGACACGGGCCAGCCCCGTAGCGGCCAACCCCCCCCCCAAAGGGGAACTGTGGTGCTGGATAGGAAACATGTGTGCCACAGATGGGGGGGGCGGTGTTTGCTCCCCTCCAGTGGCAGCAGAATTCGGCCTTAGCCGTGAACACGGCTCAGCAGTAGTTTCAGGACAAAGCCAGCCATGAGAGCACCATCCCCCCACACAGGTAAGCTGGGGAAGGTGCAAGGAGCTCAGGCAACTGGCTTAAGGACCATTTGGGCAGAAAGCTGTCTTGGGACCCCCAGCCCCACCCAACCAGACACCCCCACGTGCTGGGCATCACATGAGCGGAGCCAGCTCGTGCCGGGGGTCACCCAAGACGCTGTGTGTGCTGGATGGCTCCCTTGAAGGGGGGCACAGCAGCCCATAAGAAGAGCCTCGAAACTGGGCCAGGTCGCTGGCCAATCCAATCCAGGCCAGGGCGGGCTCTGCCAAAGATCAGCCCTGCGGCAGCCCCCACCCCAGAGAGGCCTCCGGCCTGCCACGTGCCATTAACCTGGCCAGGTGCCGTGCTCTGTAGCCAGGTACTCTTTTCTCCCCTGCTGCAACGACTTCAGGCATTTCATGCATCAATATTCTAAAATGCACAAATGTTTTGGCAAGCAAACAAGGCGTCACTGAAGCTGAAGGCTGGAGACGGAGCTGGGGATGCGCGGGGCTGGCCAGCCGCCCTTCCGCCAGGCCTGCTCCGGAGGAGGCACCCGCAGCCAGAAGTGGGAGGCGGAGGGGCTCGTGCAGGCAGCTCCCTGCATCCGGGCCACAAGATGCCCTGGAAGGCCAGCCCTGCATCCGCCTCGCTCTGCCCCCCCCCATTTTCACACACGGCCTGTCCCATCCCGGGGCCCGTCTCGGGGCCCTGTCTCACGAGGAATCCAGATCCGCAGCTCCAGAGCTGGTCCAGGTCCCTGGGGGCCGAGCCCACAAGAGCTGCCTTGCACCCCAGGAAGCTGGCCAGCCCACTCGGCTGGGCCTCCGCCTTGAGCGCCCCCCCCCTCGCGTCCTGCCTTTCTAATCCTGAAGTGCTTTTCTGAAGGCTTAATTGCTGTCACAAAGGGACTTCTGGCCAATGCAGCCAAGAGCCGCTGCAGAATTCAGTCCAGCTCTCCGGATGAAAGGCGCTTTATCTAACCGATCTATTTCAGATATGTTGAGGCCACGGCGCCTCGCCTCGCACCCTCCGCTTCCAGCAGGAGGCCAAGCCCAGCCTGCAGGACCATGTGCCACGGCTCCGGGTGAAGTGGGAGGGGCTTCCTGCCCAAACGCAGTCCAAACATTGGCCTTAGCTGGTGGTGCGGGCACTGCTATGGAACGGCTCATGTGGTATAGTCCTGCACACACAGGGCAGCCGAGGTCCCGGCTTCTTGGGTCACAGAAAACCGCTCTGCAGAGGGACCGGCGGCAAGCTGTCCTGGCAGCTCTTGGCTATGATGTTTTGGAAAACTGGCCTCGTTGCTTGCGGGTTTAGTTTTGCTGCGTGTGGCTACAGCTTGTTTGCCGGGACCCTCAGGGACCCTTGGAGCACAGCCTGCAGGCCACCAAATGCAAGCCCTCTTGCCACAGGGTCAGAAGAAAGGCCGCCCAGGTGCGCAGCATGTGCCCAGGCGTGGGCCAGAGATTGTGCCTGTTACTCTCCTGCACTTTGAACACTCAAGCACAACTATCTGGTGTGATCAGAGCAAGAACAAAGGCAGTTCAGGAATTGCCCTGTCCCTGCCTGGGACAAGCTGCCCCAGGTGGCTAAAATCCTGAAACAATGGCTGGAGTTAGGTTTGGGCGGCCCATAACCGTGTGACAGCTATTCCTATTTGGGCTATCCAGACAAGGTGCGTCTGCTCTGCTTGTGGTCCACCCAGCAAAGTGCAGCAACCAGCTCCGCCCCGAGGGTGGCCAGGTGCCCACGCACCTGGGCACCTGCCCTCTGCCCGTCCCAAAGTGGAGGAGGAGCCCGAAGCAGCCTTTTGAGCCCCTGGGAACAGCCTGGCGTGGCTGGGGAGGCCAAAGGCGCAGGAGAGCCCAGGAGGGCCGGGCCACTGACCCTCATTCCAGGGAGCTGCCTTCCTTCCAGAGAGGAGGAAGGCGCAGGCTTGTGCGGAGAGGGGCACCGCTCTGCGGAAGGACCTGGGTTCAAGCCCCAGCAGCATCTCCAGGAAGGACCAGGAAGCCCCCGCCTGCAGCCGCTGCCCTCTTGTCGACCGCGTGGGCCGGGTGGGCCAAAGGCCTGGCATGGCACCCAGCAGCCACGGATGCCCTTGTGCAGTGCGGGGCAGGGCTGGGCTGACTGGCGAGCGGAGGGAGGGCATGCAGGGGCCCCTCCTCCGCTCCTCCCCAGCGGCCATTGCCATCTCGGCTGGCCAGACACGAGCTCCGGGGTTGCCTCTCCTTCCTCTGGTGCTGCCCTTGGTTCGTGCTTCAGGGGCAAGGCTCCCAGGCAGACACCTGGCCTCCCATCCTTTGACATGCACCTTGCTCACCAGCAGCACTCCATCCATCCATTAAAAATCATGAGGACTAGAAACCTTGATGAACCCCAGGATGCGCAGAGGCACAACACTCAGCTTTCCGAGGTGGGGTTAGCAGAGGCCACTGGGAGCCAGTTGCCTCAGGTGCTCCGTGCCCCATTGTTTGGCAGGGTGTACCTGGCCGTTTGATCCGCCCTCTCGGCTGGCAGTGGCTCAGGTCCGCACTCGGGCTCTCTACAACAGCAAAACCTCACATCGCAAGCCAGCACTTTCACCACTAGGCAGTACTTCCCTCCCCAGTTCCCAAAAAGTGCTTACTGAAACCTAGAGCCCCTTCCCATGGCGCCAAATCCCCCTGCAGCTAAACCAAGGGGCGCGCCCCTCCAAAACTGAAGCGGGGCAGCCCCCTGGCCGCTCTCCCTCCCCTCCGCACGAGCGGCTCCTCCTCACCACTAGGCGGCCCAGCCGGCACTTTCCAGCGACGCACAAAGCGGCTGTTGGCTCAGGTGTCTTGCCGGCCCGTCCCCGAGCCCGCCTGCCCCCCACACGCGCGCACCTCACAGACGCTGCGGAGGCGCTCCCGGCGCTCCGTGTCGTCGGGATGCCTCGCGGATCCCGCTTCGGACTGCGCCGCTCGGGGGCGGCGCGCTCCCGTTGCCTTCGCCCCCCAGGGGAGGCGGCCGCGACTGCCCCGTCCCCCGGGGGCCCCCATCCAGAGGCGGGCAAGCGCACGAGAGAGCTGCCCACACCCCTTTCTGCCGCCCCACGTTCGCGCACGTGGAACGTGTGAACGCCCCCGCTCCCATGGACGGGAACGGCGGTGCGGGAGGCCGGCGGGCGCAGCGGCCTCGCCTCGCGGGCTCCCCGGGCCAGGCCCCCGCCCTCTCCCCGGCCCCACCTCGGCTCTGCCGCAGCGGCTCGTCCTCCTCGCGCGGGCGATCCGTGGCGCAGCGGCTGGCGAGCCCCTTTATAGGCGAGCGCTCCCCCCGCGCCGCTTCCCCTCCCCTCGGCTGAGCTC